CCCTACTGTACTACGTAAGGGAGGAGACGCTCGGCAAGCCGGTGTCTAGAAGTGGCGCGAGCGCTTCGCCGAGGGCGCCGGTTCGACGTCGTCGGGCGCGGGGCGCGAGGCCCCGACTGTCGACGAAGACATCGGGGGCGCCGCCAGGCGTTGGCTCACCACTGCAAGGACGTCCTGTACGGAGCGCAACTTTGCGTGATGCTCGGCACGCTCGCGCGTCGCCGCGGCAGAGGATTCCTGTAACACCGCGACGGTCTTCTCGAGCTGCCGAACCCGGAGCATCCAATCGCGCGCCTGCAGTAGCGCCGCCTCGACCGAGGAGGGGGCGTCCGCCCCCTCAAAGGAGCAAGCATACTGCAGTGCCGCGAGCGCGGCCTCCTCCCGGAGGCGCTCCGGGGGAACTCGACCGAGCGGTTGACTTGTGGGAGGTTTCGGCATCGTTGCTGGTCGCGATACGGTTTCGGCCCCGGTCACCGCGCTTATATGCTGAGTGACCGGGGGTGGGTCCGAAAATCCCGCCTCACCGACCGGACGCCTTAAGTCGCGCCGCTCCTGAGCGACCCCCTTTGGCGACTCGCTCTGGATGGAGCCCACACGAGTGGACCCTCCGGGAGCGGGTAGCGCGAGCGTAGCGACAGGCGCCACCGTATCGGCAGCGATCGCGAGCGAGGACCCACCACCGTCATCGGCCGGTGCCTCGTAAACGACTTCCGCTTCAACGGTTCCGTATGCCGCGTCGTCGCCGACCGCGCCCGCTTCGTCGCTGACCCAAGGCGGCATGTCTAACGCGCAGCCGCGGGCCCAGCTGAACCATACGAAGCCCGGCCGGCCGGTCCAGTCCAAACTTGCCGTGAGGGTCAGGAGCTGTTCCGCGCGCGCCGCGTCGTACGCAGTACCGTCGAGGATTTCCTTGACGCCGACCGAACGGATGAGGGCAATCAGCCCCACCGAGAGGCGGAAGAGCACGCCGCGCTCACCGAGCGGCTCGTCTCGCCTCGCAGCCAACCGGGGGTCGGGGCACTTCGTGAAGAACGGCAACCCCTCGCGGGCAGCCCGAAGGAAGCACAACAACGCGAGCACCGCCCATTTGGACAAGACGATCGCGCGCACAAGCGTGCGCGTACGTTCCGTTTCGGCTGACTCCGCTCGACCGCGTGGCAACCAATGCGCCGCGACGTAGGCCATCGCACTCGGCGTCGGCACGCAAAGGTGCTCCGGTGCCTCGAGGTCCGGCCAGTCCGGAGGGAGCGAAGGATACATGCCTCGCCGCGCTGCGCTGGGCACCGAGAAAAACTCGGTGTTGTGCCACATGTGGAAGAAGTCATCTACACGGCGCCAGCGCAGCCGACTCTCCCGCGCAGCGTCCTCGCCCCACCGGCCGCGGTCCGCGATGCTGTACCAGTTGTCGAAAGGGCGCGGGAAGGCCACCAAGCGGATGTCCGGCACGACGCCATCGTAGCGCCTGTACCGACCGAATAGGTTGAGGAGCGTGACGTGGTACCGCTCCTCGCCACCGCACCGGACGTAGAGCAAGTCGCTGCCACTCGCGGCGGGTGTACGGCACGGCACGTGTCGCCATCGGGCCTGCCAAGCGCCCGCCCGATTCTGCTGCGCCACGCTACCCCGCCCGGACGGAGTCACGATGGCATGATTCGCAGGGACTGCCTGAAATCGCGCCGAGTCCAAGAGGCGGCGCCGCACGTATTCGTCGACCGTCATCGGAGGCTTGCGACCGGAAGCGCGTCGCCGGGCTCGCCGCCGCCGGTGGTCCATCGAGGACCCGGGCAGCAGCGACCGGACGGACTTGACGCCACTTCTCAGCCAATTCGGCGCGCTGGGGGTCGTGAAGGCCCGCCCGAGCGATAGCGCCGACCCCCGCTCGGCTCGCGGCGAGAGCAGGACAGCCGGCGGTGCCAGCTTCTCGCGCACAGTACCGAAATCGGCTCTTGGCGACGCCGTGCCCGCGGCAAGCAGCGGCGACATGGGAGGCAGGGGCAGTACCGCGGGGTACGCCGGACCCGCCTCAACCGTCCTTGGAGCAACGCCCTCGGAGGGCAGCGGCGAGGGCCAGGTCGGTCGTTCTTCTATCGGTGGCGCAGCGACCGGATCGGACGCATCAGCTCGCGAGCGCGTCGCGGGCTCGGCCAAATTGGTGGTCGACTCTGTTCCGCCGCGGCGAGCGCGCTGCGGCTGAAACGCGGGAGTCGACCCGGGTAACGCCGGAGCCCTCCTGGGGCTCGACGGCGCACCGATCGGAAGCGCGTCCACGGGGGTGTTGCTGTGGTCCATGGTCGGTCGTGGGAAGAGTTGGGATAAAGGAATGTCGTCGTCTGGGGAAGGATTGGAGGATTGTTGGTGAAGTGTGGGGGAGTGCTGTGTTGGAGTTGGTGGTCCTGGGAGGTTCGCGTGGGAGGAGACAGAAGCCGCGCTATCCGAATCGGACGATATACCCGACTTATATACCGTCAGGTCGGTGAAGAGCCACGAGGCGTGCTCGTCCGCGCGAAGAGGCTTCCGTCCGGTCATCGCACGCACAGGTTGTGGAAGAGATCGAGGGGACCGCTGGGAAGGAAATGTGGTCGCCACGAGGATGTGGCGACAGATCAGGAAGGGGGTCTGTGGTACAACGACCGATCCGCGGTCGGTGTACAGTAGGAGCGGCCGCGCGCAGCGGGCACGGGGCACCGTGGCCCACGTGTAATACGCATGATTACCGAACGGGCGCAGAAAGTGACAGGTGTACGCTTGGGTACACGTGTAGTGTAAGGAACCGTGTGGGGATAATGCGCGCGCAGTGTAATGCAAGCGCGTAGTGTGAGGATCCGTGCGGTAGTGTAATGACGGCGCTAGATTTTCAATCGCGTACAGTACCTGGTCCACAGTAAGTGACAGGTACTGTATTGGACAGGTGTCCCGGGCGTCCCTCTGAGGGGTTAAGACCTGGACACCGTCCTCGCAGTAAACACGGGGGGCAGACTTGCCCCCCTCCCTTTCGCGCCTACGTACTGCCGTTTCGGTATTCTCTCGCGCGTTGGCTTCTAACCCGTTACCGGTCGTCTCCGATCTAGCACCTCGGGGACGACGGCGCGTAACCGGCCAGTGTGCCACTCCCTTTTCGCAAGTCCGACCGTTCGGTAACCGCGCGCCGCGCGTCTCGCGTCGCGAGCTCCCTCGGCTCATCCTCCGAGCCTCTCGCCCGCTAGGGTTTGAGGAGAGTTGTACCACAGGTGACAAGTCTGTGCTTGTCCCCCTCCACCGCCGCCGGTCCGCTCCATATTTAATATACAAAACAATCTATCATAACACTACAGGACCGAGGTACTGTAGCGGCCTACTGTAGTGCAGGTCGGCCTGCACTGTAATACTGTCAGATATGTCGAGGCTGACAGTACACGTATCACCCGTGGTGCTTGCCCGCTTCGTTCGCGCGTGGTACACGTGTGCACGTGTATGCGCGTCTCCCTTGTCCCCGTCGTGTACACGTGGACACGCGCGGTTGTACTGTAGAGCGTCGAGCTCTACCGTAGGGGATCCTGTTGTTGATCCAATCTAACTAAAAAGCCCCCAGGGGGGGTTATACTACAAGGATCACCAAAATCGGAACACGTCTCATCCTCCAATGTGCAATTTTGTTCATCACTGCCTTCTTTCCCAGGAAAATCACTACTTTCACTGTCGTCCTCATTCTGCTCTGGAGCAAATTCTGGTGCATATTCTGGTGTATCGTGCTCAGGAGCTGCCCTGGCCTCATGCCCTGTATTAGAGTTGAGGGTGGGACTAGAGTTGGGGGTGGGACGCGAAGATTCAGTTGGATGCGGTGCGGTGCTGCTGGCGGGCGCAGATCGGACGCCATCTTGTGTAGATTCCGCGTGCCTTGTTTCTTGACGCCTTGATTCCTCCACTTCCTCCCGTTCCATCTGCAGCTTCATTTCGTGATTTCGCACATGTCGCTCTTTCGGTATGGAGCAGCGGGTAAACCTAACCCTTGTTGATATATTGAAGTCGTCTGAACGATTCACAAAGAACTGGTTCCGCAAAATAGTCTCATATGCTTCTTCTGTATTCACCTGTTCAATAGCTCGAGAAAGAATACTCATGCACCGCTGTACCCCACGCTTGTCTTTGTCACCAACGCGGTCTGGATGTACAAGAAGCGCCAACCTGCGATAGCTTCGTTTTATGGCCTTTACCGACGACCCGACGGAAAAGATATTCACCACAGAGGTTACTTCGATCTCAACTGTAGACAAATGACGAAGCGCGAGGACGGTTTATTGAGAAATCGTGGACATTTTGGGAAAGACAAGGGACAGAGTAGATACGAGCTCAAGGTAGGGAATAGGGGGGCGACTTTGCGAGGAACAAGGCGACAATGGCACTTTGAGAAATTTCTGTGGGCGATTTGAGTCCTTTTGAAAAAAGTTGAGGACGATTCTGACCTTGAGTCCAGTCACAGTAGGGCGACAGTGAAAAAGTGACATCAAGTCGCCCCCCCTCTCTTGAACATTATCGAAACCCGCCCTACTGTATCTTGATATTTTGTCAAATCCCCCCCCCGATACTCAAGAAAACCCAAAATCGCCCCGCTTTATGCTAAGAAAAACACCTTGTCGCCCCCCTAACGACAAAATGACCCTTTTATTTTATTTTTAACAACGCGTTTATGCCATTGCCAATTTGTTGGACCTGAAGTCAGGGGATATGTCCATTTCTGGTGCTCAATCTTGATTTTGGAATAAAAAGGGCAGATTTTTCGTTTGTTTAACTTTTGGGGTGACTGTTCAGTTTTGGGTACAGTACCCCACCATACTTGTACGTAGCGGGAACGAGGGCGTGGAAGGAATGTTACTTGCACCCCTTGTGCATTACAGTAACAGCGAGGATACAGTGAGGGCCACACGTTTCTGCGGAAACGTGTAACACGTGTAACACGTGTTACACGTTTGTAACACGTGTTCCAGCAGGGTTAAACTGGGTGACCGATGGCTTCGGGTAAGGGAGCCAGGAAAGTCGGCTACTTTGCCTTTAATGGAAACGGAGTACCGTTAGAGTACAGATGAGTGTTTTCGATTAACTCCGAGTTGACGGTGGCTACAGGTGTCGGAGACTCGCCCGCAACTCTGCCGTCCCTCTCCGTCCTCCTTTATCCCTGTCTTCCTCCCTGGCTGAAGGAGAAGGCCCTCGCGGCGATGACGAATGCACTACTGTACACGTGTTACTGTTGTCCTATACAATAATAATATATCCAAAAATATGTTACATTACGCTGTCCGCGCCACTGCCATCGCCTTCCACCCCGCCCCCGCCTTCCTCAGAGAGAAGGCGGCGAGGGTGAGTGAGAACTTCTCACTCACCCTCGTCCCGCGTACTGCTGTCTGATCTGTCCCGCTGCAACGCCGCAAGTTGGGCTACCGCCTCCGCGTTCTTGTCTTCCTCGACCGCCATCTCGTACAACTGTATCGCCCGATCCGTGTCGCGGGCCACCCCGTCCGCCCCGTCCCGCAACATGTTTCCAAGACACACCATTGACTCGCTCTGCTTCCGTTCCTTGATGTCCATCTCAAACAGCTGCACCGCACGCACTGCATTGCGCTCCACCCCTTCCGCCCCGTCCCATAACGTCATCGCAAGATTGCAAGTCGCGTTACCGGAATTTCCTTTCGCCATTGCACGATCATACAGTGCCACGGCGCGCACCGCGTTACGCTCTACTCCTTCGGCACCTTCTTTGAGCAAAACACCCAGGTTCACCATTGCATCGACGTCGTCACCCTTCTCGACAGCGCGCTCATACAGCTCCATAGATCGCACTGCGTCACGCTCTACTCCTTCGGCACCTTGCTGCAGCAAAAGACCCAGGTTATTCATCGCACCGACGTGCTCACCCTCCTCGATAGCGCGCTCATACAGCTCCATAGATCGCACTGCGTCACGCTCTACTCCGGCACCTTCTGAGAGCAAAAGAGCGAGATTATACATCGCATCGACGTGCTCACCCTTCTCGATAGCGCGCTCATACAGCTCCATAGATCGCACTGCGTCACGCTCTACTCCTTCCCCACCTTGTTGCAGCAAAACACCCAGGTTATACATCGCACCGACGTGGTCACTCTTCTCGATAGCGCGCTCATACAGCTCCATAGATCGCACTGCGTCACGCTCTACTCCTTCCCCACCTTGTTGCAGCAAAACACCCAGGTTATACATCGCACCGACGTGCTCACCCTTCTCGATAGCGCGCTCATACAGCTCCATAGATCGCACTGCGTCACGCTCTACTCCTTCCCCACCTTGTTGCAGCAAAAGACCCAGGTTATACATCGCACCGACGTGCTCACCCTTCTCGATAGCGCGCTCATACAGCTCCATACATCGCACTGCATCACGCTCTACTCCTTCGGCACCTTCTGAGAGCAAAAAACCGAGGTTATTCATCGCATCGACGTGCTCACCCTTCTCGATAGCGCGCTCATACAGCTCCATAGATCGCACTGCGTCACGCTCTACTCCTTCGGCACCTTGTTGCACCAAAACACCCAGGTTCACCATCGCCGTACAGTTTTCATTCTCTTCGATCGCAGTCTCGTATAGAAGTTCGGCTTGTGGAGCGTCACGACCCACCCCTCGTGCCCCTAGCGAGAAAATATTTCCAAGCCTATTCATGGCGTTTGCGCTTGAATTCTCATCCTGACTTCCCGCATATTGTCTCTCTCTCGCACACCGAGGAGCCCCCTGTCCGGCAGTACCCAGCACAATCCAAATTCCTTCTCTTGAAGACAACGTCGCGTATTCGCTTATCATGCGTTCCAGTAAAGCCTTGCCAACAAGATCATACGTCATGTCGTCACACTCGGTCACCTTTCCTTCGGAGAAAAAGGCCTCCTTTCCAGCACCATCACCTTTTGCCTCCCTCGACTTCACATCCCCGCCATTTCCATTTCCAACCCCCAAGTTCGAAAAATTGGCAAGCTTGTCCAACTGATTCCATTTCCGGGAACACACAATCGCTTTTCGTATCCATGCATGAAATTTTCGACGGTTTCCGGCCACGTCAAACTCAATCGCAGTTTCGAGCGCATGTACGAACAAATCCACGATCACTCCATCACAACTCTGCTCCATCACTAGCTTCGCAAACAAATCAAACAACTTCTCAAACCCATCGTCACCGCGTGTTGACGTAGATGTCAAGCTTGTATGCAACTTAGCATGAAAGAACGCTTTGATCATTTGCGCCGCTTCTCTCAAGTTCGATGTCCTCCGCGCATGCATCCCTGTCGGCCCCCCTTTCCTCAAAAGCTCCACACATGTGCACAGAGCGCCAATGTCATTCCTCTCCAGTGCCGCTACCTTGAGCAGAAAAATGGCCCGCCCGAAATTTTCATGTCCTCCGCCAATCAGATTCTCGGCCTTACGAATCACGTCCTTGGTGTCTTCAGTCTGGTTCGACAGCGCCGTGCCACTTTCCACAACCCTCGTGCCTTCTATAAGTGCTTCTCTCACAATGAGACACCCATCACGGATCGACTCACGCTTTGCTTCTGCATACCCGACAGAGCGTCTCCTTCCCACCATACGGTTGACACTGTAAGTTATTTTCTTATTTTTCGCAACAAGGGACTCAGGCTGCCGTGTCACGGCAAACTCCACCAGCAGTTTCTCACTCTCAACTTCAAGTTTGCAATGTTTCGTTCGGAACGGTTCCCATCCCGCCCACGTCACAAACTCATGCCCACTCTCCCTTACCGCTGAATCCACAATCCGCAAACCAGAGTCTATTGGGAGTCTAGACGTACGGAATTCCACTGCTTCCATTTCGTGATTCTCTTGCCATCGCTTTAGGCCCTCCATGCGCCCCATCGCCGCATCTCGCCACCACTCCCACTCGAACACCCCCTCTGCACCATTTTCCCCACGACGTAACCGTACACTCACTTCATGCACATGCTCGCTTGTGTACTGGAGTCGAACATCGAGCTTAGTCTGTTGCGGGGCGCACATCGCCGTTATTGTCAACTCAACCGTCTTGATCCTGCCCGTCTGGTCTTGTGCTTCTTCCCCGCTTCCCAATACGAGAGTCACACAGCTCTCTCCTTGCTTGATCTCCACTTCTCCCGCTTCCCTCGACCTCTGTTGCTCCCCAGCCCCTCCAATCCCACCTTCCATCCTTGTCACTTCGATC